AATTTTCTGATAAACTCCCTGAGAACTCTAATGTTGCGGGGAATCTCATAGGTATACTAACCTCAGACTTGCAAAAGGCCTTGGGTTTACGGTCGAACACATATATTATGTAAGAAATTACAAGCTATCAGTCTACAGAGCATAGGCTCTGTAGACTGATTTAAGTCCTACCTGAGCAACAGGAAATAAATTGTCACGACCAACAACACAGACTCAGAACCCCAGGTCGACAGCATGGTCCCTTACTTTTTCTTTGCTATGTAAATGACATGTAAATGACATGTCTCTTGTATACAGACGACAGTGCTCTCTTAGTGTCAGGTTAAGACCCACAAGATTTAGCTAATGAACTATCACTAGAACTAAAGTCCTGCAGCAAATGGTTAGTAGACCACAAACTATCGTTACACTTCGGAAAAGCAGAAGCTATACTCTTTCGCACAAAAAATAAAGTGAAAAGGTAAATAATTTTAGTGTCCAGTGTAATGGGGAACCCATCACTTCAGTAATATAAGTGAAATATAAGGGAATTAATTCCTCTGACCCAAGCATGTCAGGAGAATTGACAGGGAACAGAGTAGTAAAGAAAGTGGATGGCAATCTCAGGTTCCTCTTCAGACAGGCGCAGTATCTACCAACTGAGGCTCGCAGGACCCTATGCTTAGCTCTCATACAGTGTCATATAGATTATTCTTGCTCTTCATGGTACTCTGCCTTAAAAAAAAAACTGCAAATCACCCAGAACAAAAAGATGAGATTCATCCTGGAACTGGGTTAGAGAGAGCATGTAGGCCAAGATGAATTACAACAAATGAATTTGCTGAATGTTGAAGACTGAATAAAGCAACTGAAGTTAAGTCACGTTTATAAAATTGCTCACAATGTCCAGAATATCTTGCTGGCAAGTTTGTCATAGCTTGAAACAAAAATAAGTATGGTACTAGGAGAAGTAAACACAAATGAGTAGTCCCCACATTATGTGGTCAAAATTCAAACACCTTTTATTGTACAGCAATAAAGAAGAAGAACGAACTGCCTAAACATGTCAAAGCCTGTTATAGCATAAGCCAGTTCAAAGAGGAGCTAAAAGGTATCGAATGACTGAAGCTACAAAAATGAAGGAGAGTGATTTCTTGTATAACTAACTTTCATGAACCTATTACTGTTGTAGATGAATGGTTCAGAGAACTGACACGTTGATAAATTAGACACATGTGCAACTCTTGGGTATCTTTATTTATGTGGTCAGTCCATCAGTCTTGAATGATTGATGGACTGACCACATCGACTCAAGGTTGAGGGACTGATTACCTCATTCTCCTCCTGTCTTCACGATTCTCCTTTGTATGGACTGATAAAGCCACTGTGTGGCGAAACGTTTTCCTCAATAAAGATACCCCAAGAGTTACACATGGTCTAATTTATTACATATTACTGAAAGCTCTCCTCTCTTTAATTTTCAGAAAATCTCTTTTTTTTTTAAACCTTATTCCTAGTATCTCTTTCTGAAATTTCGTTTGTACAAATTTGGAGTTACTTAGTGTTTTGATTTTTAGGGTGAAAAATAAAAAGATATTACAAGGCCCAAATGGAAATAAGTCACTTTGATTTTTTGAGTTGTTCCAGGTAATTTACAAATTGTTATTTAAAGAATAAAAATTTTATTAACTGTATTTAGGTGCCCTGACCCTAAATAAACTTACTTAATCAATTTTTTGAAGCCGTCAAAAGCGCATCCCCTTTTTTTATGTTTTAAATGACTATTACTGTTTATTCAATAAAACTGGAAAATTTGGGATTCATGGAGAAAGAACAACAAAACCCTTGGTTCGAACCAAACCTAGGGGTCAAAAATTAAAGCGATCCGTGATTTTTTTTCTCCGTTATGGTCCGCACCCAAATTTTCCCAAGGGTTTGTTATTATTTATTCTTAATAAATTTTCCCTGCTGGAAACAAAATTTAAAGGGGCCCCATCTTTCAAAAACCAAAATGCATTTCCCCGTGATTCTTTGGGGAAATAAAATGGCGCTTTAAATTTACGAAAAAAAGGGTTAGATTAAAAATACACATCTGAATTCATCTTTACTTTATCGAATTAGGAGGCGGTCTTCAATGTGGAAGCACGTGTGAGAATTTTTAAAATTTTAAGACTCATTCCTGGATGTGGGAACGAATTTCAAAACCCTAAGTGCTATTGTTCCCAGAATCTATCCTCGATACCCCAAACAGGCTTTAAAAATTTAAATCATGGATGAGGGGTTCTCGAGTTATGAACAAAAAAAATTGGAAAAGTAGAGAGAAAAAAAATATAAAACATTCGGGAAAGTGTAAATTTAGTTTTAGAAACATCCCTCGCAATAATATTAATAATGTTAGAAACATCCCCTGCTAAAAAATGTTAATAATGTTTAAAAACCCCCCTCACAAATAACTAGTTAAAATGTTGAACCCC